TCTTTCTTCCTTGTTTTATTTATTTCCTTTCTTTTTCATTTCTGTTTTGTGTAGGGAAAATGAATTGGATCATTCAATCACCAATCCTCGTGGGATCGACCTCGCACTTACATATGCTATACTACCAAACGGCTCGTGCACTTGCGAGTATCACAAGTTGAGGATGCAATTGAATCCATTTTGGTGTAGCTGTATCTACACAACAGGTCACAATGAATCCGTTGACTCATCTAACCGGGGAAATTTCATTGAAATCTTAAAGTCTTTTGCAAGAATGAATATAGAAGTTGAGAAAATTGTCCTAGATAAGGCTCCTCATAATGCTCAATATATTGCTCATGACATACAAAAACAGATCTTGCATAGTTTTGCTACCAATGTGAAGAAGAAAATTTGTAGTAAACTTGGTAAGAACAAATATTGTATTCTTTTTAATGAATCACTTGATGAATCAGGTAAGGAACAAATGGCTATTATTATAAGATTTGTTGATTGTGATGGATTTATTCGTGAACGCTTTTTCGATATTGTGAGTGTTGTAGACACTAATGCCTTGACTCTTAAAATAGATATATGCGAAGTGCTTGATAATAACGACGTTCTAGTGGAAAACATGCGTGGCCAAGGATATGATGGTGCTAGTAATATGCCAGGTTCATGTAATGGATTACAAGCATTGTTTCTTCAAGATTGTCCTTATGCATATTATGTGAATTGCTTTGCTCATCGCTTGTAATTAGCATTAAATGGTGTGGCTAAAGATGAAAGTTGTATAGAGATTTTTTTCAATGTTGACTAACATTGTGAATTTTGTTAGTGCTTCTGCTAAGCGCTGTAATGAGTTATTTAATTCAAACAGCTGAACTCAAAGAGTTGTTGGATTCTGGGGAACTTGAGACAGGTAGAGGACTTAATCAAGGTCGTAGTTTGAAACGAGCTGGAGCCACTAGTTGGGATCTCACTTTGCCTCTATTACAAGTTTGATGGGTTTATTTAAAGAGACTAAATTACATCTTCAGGAAATAAGTGATTATGGACCTAACCAACAATTTCATGGCGATGCAGAAAGTAACTATATTGCTATGATGTCTTTTGAGTTTGTGTTTTCATTGCTTTGGATGGATAAAATTATGGAATTGACCAACTTTCTTTGTCAAGTGTTTCAGACAAAAACTCAAGATATTGTAAGTGCTTTAATTTTTGTTGAAAACACAAAATCACAGTTCCAAGATATGAGGGCACATGGCTGGGATGATTTATTCATGAGTGTGGTATCATTTTGTGAACAACATGGTATTGATGTTCCTGATATGGGTTTTTGTTATATGATGGGCACACGTTGTTCTTGTTAACAAAAAGATTTTATTATAGTTGAACATTAATATCGCGTTAATGTATTTAATGATGTGACAAATTGCATGTTGAGGGAGTTAAATGACAGATTTCTAGAGCAAACAGTTGAACTTCTTATTCTTAACTCAGCATTGGATCCTCGTAATTCCTT